CTGGCCCCTGGGTTTTAGCTTTTGACTGGAGAGTTTAATCTATTTGCATTTAAAATAATTACTGATTAAAAAAGGACTTCTCTCATTTACTAAATGTTTTCTATCTTCTTTGTTCCAATTTTCTCTATCGCTGTCTTCTTCTGTACTTTGTTGATTATTTTGTGGGATACCTGTTTAGTTCCCTCTCATTTTCTTTCGTGTTTATTTTTTACATATTTTCTTAGTGGTTACCATACAGATTACAATTAACATCCCAAAAACATATAACATTCTAGTTTGGATTGATGCCAACTTAGCTTAAAATAGCATAAAAACCACCTCTGCTCCTATGTAGCTCTGTCCCTTATGTTATTTCTTTTTTTTTTTTAAGATTTTATTTTTTCTCTTTTTCTCCCCAAAGCCCCCCTGTACATAGTTGTATATTCTTCGCTGTGGGTCCTTCTAGTTGTGGCATGTGGGATACAGCCTCAGCGTGGTTTGATGAGCAGTGCCATGTCCACACCCAGGATTCGAACCAATGAACACTGGGCCGCCTGCAGTGGAGTGCGCAAACTTAACCACTTGGCCACGGGGCCAGCCCCCCTTATGGTATTTCATAATATACATCTTTATATATTGTGTGGCCATTAACATAGATTTATAATTATTGTTTTATGCTTTTGGCTTTTAAATTATGTAGTAAAAGAAAGGCGGTTTTACAATCACAGAATAGGATGTTTGCTTTTGCTTTTACCTATGTAGTTACTTTTACTGCAGTTCATTATGTCTTCATATTGATTAGAGTTACTATCTAGGGTCTTTTTATTTGAGCCTGAAAGGTTTTAGCATTTCTTGTAGGATGGGTCTACAGTGACTCACTCAGATTTTGTTTACTGGAATGCTCTAATTTTTCTTAGATTTTCTTGCTGGATGTAGAATTCTTGGTAGACAGTTATGATAGCAATTTAAAAATGCCATTCTGCTCCCTCTGGCCTCCATGGTTCCTCATTAGAAATCTGCTGTGAATCTTATGGAGGATTTCTTGTTTGAGATGAGTTGCTTCTCTCGTTGCTTTGAACATCATCCTATCTTTGGCTTTTGACGATTTGATTATAATACATTCCAGAGTGGATTTCTTTGAATGTATGCTTTGAATTATTGAGGTTCTTGACTGTGTAGATATTTGTCTTTAATCAAATTTAAGAAGTATTTGCCCATCATTTCTTCAAATAATTTTTCTGTTCCTTTCTCTTTCTGTTCTCCCCTCTTTCATTAAATTTATTCCTGTTTTTATTCTTTTTTCTACTATTATAAAGGAATCTTTTCCTTAATTTCCTTTTCAGATTGTTTACTATTAGTGTATAGAAATACAGCTTATTTTCCTATGTTGATTTTGTATCCCTCAACTTTGCTGAATTTGTTTCTTATTTATTAGTTTTCATTTGGAGGCTTGACTAAGGGAGAATCTGCTTTCAAGACTCCTCAGTTCATTGGCAGAATTGATTTGCTTACAGTTGTAAACCTGAGGTTTCTGCTGGCTGGTGGGTGGGTCTGCCTTCCCCTGGGGGTTGCCTGGTGTTCCTGCCATGTGGACTGTTCTCACCGTGGCTACTTTCTTTTATCCAGTGTATTGGTCTTTTTGAGGTACAAAAACAAAACACCACAGACTGGGTGGCTGAACCAAAAGAATTTTTTTTCTCATGGTTCTGGAGGCTGGGAGTCCCAGATTAAGATCCAGCAGAGTTGGTTTCTGGTGAGAGCTGTCTTCCCGGCTTGTAGATCGCCACCTTGCTGTGGCCTTTCCTCAATGTATGTGAATGGAGAGAGAGAGCTCTCTTGTGTCTTTGTTTTTATAAGTACACTAATCTTATCAGATCAGGACCCCACCCTTATGACCTCATTTAACTTTAATTACTTCCTTAGATCCCATCTCCAAATACAGCCACACTGGGTGTTAGGGCTTCAACATGAATATGGAAGCAACATAAATATTCAGTCCATAGCATTCTTCTTGTGGCTCTTAAAATTCTTGTCCTTCTGTCATGCAAAATACATTCGTTTAATCCTAACAGCCACAAAAATCTTAACATACATCAGCATCAACTAAAATCTAGTCTTACCTAATTATCATCTAACTTAGATATGATTGAGACAGGAGGTATGATTTATCCTGAGGCAAAATTCCTCTCCAGTTGTGACCTATAAAACCAGACAAGTTGTATGCTTCCAAAATACAAGGGTGGGACAGGCATAGAATAGATATTCCCATTTCAAAAGGGAGAAATCACAAGGAAGAAAGCAAGTTCAAAACCTAGCAAGGCAAATTCCACTAGAGCTTAAGGCTCAAGAATAATCATTTTTGGATCAATGCTCTGCCTTCCAGGGTCACTGGGTGGCAGTGTCTGCCTCATGGCTCTTTAGGCTGACCACACGGCCCACTGAGACTGAGGAGGGGACCCTACCTTCTGAAACCACTGAGGAAGCCCTCTAGGGCTTGCCCACTAGGCCTGTGGTGGGTGTGGCAGCCCTGAAGATCTTTGAATTGCCTTTGAGGTCATCCTTCCTTTTTCTTGAAAGATAACACATATTTGCAGCATTCCTTCATTCCATCCCATTTTCTCAGTTTCCTTTAGTCCCAGCTAAAGTGGGACTGCTGTATTTCTGCTGGTGTATTCTCATCTCTATTCCTGGCTTCTGAGCCTGCTGAGATGGCTGATTAAATCCATAGGTCACACCTATACAAATAACCTTATCAAAACATTGTTCAGTCACACTCCTATTGTTCTTTTCGGAACACGTTTTCTCATTTTTTGCAATATGAGTAAGCTGAGAATTTTCCAAACCTTCAAGTTCTGATTCCTCTTTGCTTAATGGTTCCTTCAATTTATCTCTCTCCTCTTGCATTTTACTATAAGTTTAAGGAAAAACCAAGTTGCTCCATCAACGTTTTGCTTAGAAATTTCCTATCTAAATATTCAATTTCATTATGTGCAAGTTCTATTTTCCACAAAACACTAGAATACAGTTCAGCCAAGTTCTTTCTAAAGCCACTTTCTAACAAGGATCATCATTCCTCCAGTTTCCAATAACCTGTTCCTCATTTCCATCTGAGATTCCATCAGAATGGCCCTTCAAGTCCATGTTTCTAAAAACTTTCTGTTCATGATGATATATGCATTGTCTGAGAAGATGGAGGCCTTCTCTCCAGCTTTCTCTCCATCTCTCCATCTCTCCTCTTTTCTTTCTGAGTCCTAACCAGAATCTCTTTAACATCCATGTTTCTACCAACAGTCCTGTCTTGGCAATCTAGGCTTTCTCTAGTGTGCAGCTCAAAACTCTTCCAAACTCTACCCATCACCCAGTTTCAAAGCCACTTCCACATTTTTAGGTATTTGTTACAATTGCACCCTACATCATGGTACCAATATCTTTTTTAGTTTTCTTGGCTGTCATAACAAAACACCATAGACTGGGTGGTTTAAACCATGGAAACTTAGTTTTTTACAGTTCTGGTGGCTAAAGGTCCCAGACCAAGGTCTAGCAGGGTTGGTTTCCAGTGAGAGCCAGCTTTAGACAGCTGCCTTCTCATTATGTCCTCACATGGCCTTTTCTCCATGTGTGAGCATCGGGGGAGAGAGAGTGGGTGGGGAGAGACTGAGAGTGCCTGCTATAGAGCTCTGATTCTCTTCTTGTAAGGACACAAGACACTAATCCTATCAGATCAGAGCCCCACCCTTATGACTTATTTAAACTTAATTACTTCCTTAAAGCCCCCATCTCCAAATACAGCCAAATTAGGGATTAGGGTTTCAACATATGAATTTGAGGGGAGCACAAACATTCGGTACATAGCCTTCAGCCAGCGAGGAGAATCTCTCGAGTAAGTCAGCTAGCCAGATGGAGTCTTACATAGCATAACATAATCATGAGAATGACATCTTATCATTTTTGCCATATTGTGCTTGTTAGAAGCAAGCTACGGTTCCCAGACATGCTCAGTGTAGGGGATTGCACAAGGTTTTAAACATCAGAGACAGGGATCAAGGGGACCAGCTTAAAGTCTATCTAGCAGAGTTTGAGAGCCATGATTTTTATGTTTATTTTTCAAGTGGTTACCTCTAATTCATAAAGATCCAAATTTAGTGTACATTTCATCTAATATTCTTTTAATTTTTTTCTGTGCTTATAGATATTTTTATTCTTTTAAATTCTATTTTGTTTATTTGATTCTTTTTCTGTTATTACTTGATTGGTAATGAAAGAAGTTATCCCACTTTCCAATCTCTTTACTAGTAGTTGCTCATCTTTACTACCCATTTTAATTTTTAATCCTCTCTTTGAAGAGTTTCTCTTTTTTTTTGGTATTTCAATGAAGAATCTTTACCAATGATGGACTTTGGTGAACTTTCTAAGCTTTACATATATGGAGAACATATGTATTATATGCTCATGTTTTATTAATGTATTGGTTAGACATAAAATCAGTAGTTGAAAATTATTTCCTATCAAAACTTAGAAAAGATTACTCATTGTTTTCTTGTCCCTTTGTCACTACTGTGACTACTGAACAAAATCTGATTTTTTTTTACTTTGTAGGAACTCTATTAACTGTAACAACTTTTGAAAGTGATTCTTTCTTTGATGATCTTATTATCATTCCATGTGTGGATCTTATTTTAACTATTCTGTTTGAAACTATGATATTCCTTTCAACCAGAGGTCTTTTATGTTTCTATAATTCTTTGAAATTCTTATATTAATTTTTTATTTTTTCTTTCTTCTACATCTGGACTCTCTTAACAGTAAATCCTATACATCTTATAATTTTTATTATATGTCATCTATCCCTTTATTTTTTATATGCCTTTGTGAACGTTCTTTCATTGAATTTCCAGTTTAATACGTATTCTTTAATGGCATTAGTTCCGTTATTCTTCTATCTATTGAATTATTTCAACTCATTATCTTTTAACTAATATTTATACTTAGTCTTCTTTATAGCTAGTCCTTTTTTCCTCATGATGTTACTGTGATGTATCATCTCTTTGAGGTATTATTCTTAATTTAATATTTTCATGTATTTGTTCCATCACATCTGGTTTACGTAGTTCTGATGTCTTTTCTTATTGTAGTTTGATGCCTAAATATCTATTATTTTGGATTTTGAACTTGTTTTTCCCTGAAGGTACCACATTCTTGGCTTGTAGTGTGTATAAGGTGGGAGGAACAAGGCCAAGAACTTCCTTATGTTTCTGGTAGGTTTAAAGTGTAAAGCAGGGGAAGAATTCTCCATGGCAGAGGTCACAGTACCAGAGCTGAGCTTGGACATCCAAATTGGAATTTTCTCTTCAGAAAATTCTGAATCTCAAAAAACTGTGTCACCTGTTCCATTAGCTTTTCTCCCTCTTTGTTCTTGGTGCTATCTGATGTAATAATTATCTCAGAGGAATGCAACAGAGAGAAGAAAGTCAACTTCAAAGCTCTCTTTCTGCCTAGACCTCATGCATAGCAGCAAGTTACAGCTGACTTCATTACTCTCAAGAATTCCTCATGGTATGTTAGTTCTTCAAATCTGTAAAAATTTCACCAACAAAGCTTTCGTGAATATCATGTTTGATGATGTTTCCTTATTGATGTTTCCAAAGGATGTTTTTCAAATTTCCACTATGTTAACCACTCCTGGATAGTTGATTTTATCCCCTTTGCATCCTTAAATGGTGTTTTTTGTTGTTTGTTTGCTCTTAGTCCCTTGACATTGCCTCTGAATTTTCTTTTTATAGTTCTCTTCCTACAAATTGTTAAATTAGTTGATGTGCTACCTAAAGTCACAAAGGTATTCTTCTGCCTTATCTTATAAAATGTTTACAGTAGCATAGTATTCACAAGGTCTATTTATTAAAAAAGACTTTTCCCCATTGATCTGCAGTGGTTTATCTGTTATACGTCAAACTGCCATATGCACGTGGGTTTGTTCTGGCACTCTCTTTTCTCTTCCATACACTTATTCATCTATGCTTGTACCCAAACAATAGAGTTTTATTCATTTTGCTTTGTGATAAATCTCTATATCTGGTAGAGTAGCTTCTCCCTCCATATTGTTCTTTGTCTTCAAGAGTGTCTTGGTTTTTTCTCAGATTTTCATATAAATTTTAGCTCATCCATTTCCATGAAAAAACTATTGAAATTTTAATTAGTATTACACTGAATCTATTAATAATTTTGTGTATATCTATAGCTTTATATATTGAGTCTTCCAATTCATGAACATGGTATATATCTCTATTTAAATCTTCCTTAACATCTCTAAATAAAGCTTCAGAATGTTTCCTGAAATGAACTTGCCCCTATTTTGTTTTATATTCATCTTTCTAGGCTACTTAAGTATAAATATAATTATGTTATATTATATCAAATATAATTTGTTAAGGTAAATATGCAAAGTGTGTGTGGCCCTGTTTTGTAATTACTTGTTGTCAGGTTGCTTTGCCTCCTTATGCACCTGGTTTCTTTGTGTGGTGATCATTGTCTAAGAAAAAGTAATACTTTGTGTTTGCTTTCTAAGAGAGCAACTGGACAGAAACCGGTAAAATACATATTCCCTGCTTCAGGTTCCCTGATCATCACAGGCCATATTTATCCAGGGTAGGAATTTGTATGCTGGTAGTCTGTTGCCATAGTTTATCAGGAATCCCTCCCATCTCAACTTTTTGTTGTTGTTGCTGTTTAGTTCTGCCCTGATCAGCACCAACTCAATTTGACTGTAGGTGGGGTATTTCTCCTTTTCTAGTATCCTGGAGGTGTGTAGAGATTTGTGTTATTACCATAATGTGAGAGAGGGTCCCTTAGAGACCTCTACCTTAGGATATCTTTTGGGCTTTGACTTTTTCCTTCTCACTCTGGAAAGTTTTGAAAGTAAAGTCTAAGTGAGTGATATCCACAAATGCCATGAGAATAAGAAAAACTTTGTTACTTCAGTACTCTGTTTACTTTTATAAATTCAGGCTTTTCTCCATAGTTTGCCATGGTAATCTTGAACTGTTGTTTAATTTCTTCAATATTTTTAGGTTACCTCTTTTAAAATTTAAGTAGAATTTTTGTCACTTCAGGTTTGATTCAAGTGCTTTGATCTGTACTTACTAGAACTGGAATGTCCTGCAATTTATTTTTCATGTTGCTGGCAGAATGAACTATCTATGTACCTTCCTACCAACCTTATCATATCCTTGTCTTAAAATCTTCACTACTTTCTTATCACTTTCATTGCTTTCTTAATATTGTCTTTAAGTTTAATATGTAATGATATGACATCTGAGATCAAGACAAGTTATCTTTCTCTCTCTAATCTTTGTTCAATTGATCCTGAAAAACTTTCATTCCAAGAATGCATTGTGCTTTGCTTGCCTCTGGTCTTTGAACATGACATTATTTCTGCATAGAATTCTCTCCTCCACCACCACCTATTTTTTAATTTGCTATCTTGGCCTTATCTTTCAGACCTCATTTTAAAGATACTGTTACTCTGACAAGATGTAGTATAGCATAACAGTTAAACATACTTGGCAGCAAAGTAATTTTCTAAACTTAAGTGGTCTTCAGTAGCCTATTTATAATGCCAATATACCTGATATTTTGTTGTATAGATTAAACTGAATAATGTACTCTGTCTATTATATAGTAAACAATAAGTGATAATTTCATTATTACTAGCTCCTTCTTTATTTGTATCCTCCCTCCACCTGATAAGATTGGGAAGCTGCCAAAAGTCTACATTGTCATATATTCTTTTCTAGTTGCCTATAAACTTAAGAAATTGAGATTTTTTTTATTGTTTAGCCATTGGCTTCTTTCATTAGAATTTAAGATCTTGAAGGTGGGAACTCTACCTTGCCCATACTTTTATCCATTGTGTCTGATACATAAGTATATCTAGTAAATATTTGTTAAATTAACAAGTGAACAAAGGAATAATTATTAAATCACCTTCTTTTATATTTAGGAGAAACGTATAGAAATAAAGAATATTTCCTAAAACTGCACAGCCAGTAAAAAGGATATTCAGAACTCTTCTAACTGACTACCAACTCTAGGCAAGATGCCAACCTTAAAACATAATCTATACGTTTAAATAAGACTTCTATGTATAATATATATATAATATACTGAAGACAGCATGCAGCACAGTTATGCATTCAGTTATTACCACATAGCCACATTTTGGCCAACAATGGATGGCATATACAATGATGGTCCCATAAGATTAGTACCATATAGCCTAGATGTTTGTGTAAGTATACTCTATGATGTTTGCACAACAATGAAATTGACTAAGGATGCATTTCTCAGAACATATATCTGTCACTAATGACACATGATTGTAGATTGAGAACATAAGGATTTTAGATCAAAAGATTATGATGCTGTATTGGGAAGGTCAAGGTAATTTTGATGGATGAAGTAGGGTTGTAGATGTGACCTAGCATGAGATTGCTGTAGCTTCCAGGACAGTCTGAAAATTGGGGCTTCATTGGTGTTCTCCCATACTTGAAAAGATAAGAGCCACCTAGCCTAGGATAATGCATGATTTTCATGAAGCCTAAGAGCCATATCAAAATTTGTACATGTTAATGGCATAAACTGTAAATTATTTTTTTCAGTTTTACTCAAACTAGTGTTGGTCACAGCCAATATTTTCAGACATACATTTAACATATTGCCTTAATTTTATTTTCCTTACAAAATAACACCATAAGTCTATATATTATATAAAAATAAGGAGGGGAATACATTATAATGAGAAATATTTTGAATGAGTTTACACTTGTACTTATTCCCTTAATTTGTATCTTCTCTTCTGAGGTTTTGATCTGTTGTAACATCACCAATAATTACACATAACTGGGCTTTACTAGATTTATTGAAATTTGAGTGTCTTCAAATGTTTAACATCGATAGTTTAGCAGCACATACACTGAATTGCACAAATCCTACATGGTAAATAAGGGAAAAGTGGGACTTTTTAAGACAAACATAGTGTACAATATTATCATTTAACATTCAAGTTAATAAAGGTTGGAGAATTTGTTTCCAAATCAACCTTAGATTTTTGGGGGAGGTGGAATCAGAAAAAGATAAATATCAATTCTGAAATTCCCATTCGAAAATAGAGAAGAAACACATCTTAAGTGTTATTTCAGGGAGTGTTAGAAAATCAGGGGACTGCGGTGTGAAGGCTTTAAGAAGAACACTTTAATCAGCATGGAAAACACTGGATTGGAATATTAGTTCAGAAAGTTAGATAGGTAGTTTGGAAACGGACTGTGAAGAAACGTAGAAAGGAAATTATTCTTGTTTTTTGAGACAATGAATTTTGACAACTGTAGTGTTTTGGCCAGTATTATGACATCACAAAAGTGCTATTTTGGAGGATTATGTAGCAGCAGCTAAAGTGAGTGACTTCAGTAGGGAGTAAACTGGATGCAAAGGGATCGGTAACGGGATTATTGCATTTGCTTTATGCTGTTAATACTGCTGCTGCTTGCTTAGAGGCTGCTTAACATCAACTTCAAAATGGAAATTTACCTGTCATAGCATATTCCAGAAGAACATTGAATAAAAGTGAACATGTATATCCCAGTCCCAATTTAGGGGTCTGTCTTTGAAGTAAACAGCCTGAGATGATTTCTTGAGTTTTACATGAAATAGATTCAGAGTAATGACAGCCTCTTCTATGGAATTGCTAACTACTGCGAAATTGAATAGAGCAGAACAGACAAGAGTGTCAGCCGTCTCTCTATTATATTCTAAATGCTGCACAGGGCAGGTGAGGAAAACACAGACACTGGTACACTTCAAAGGAACAGAATTGTGTTTCTAGGGAAGGTGGAAGAGAAATATGAGCATGAGATAACTAAGAATATTGCAGTGAGATTCAAAATAGATATAAAATTTACTATTATGTACTTACAGATGTTTACATATAAGTAATAGCTTGAAAAATTTACAAGAGACTTGTGACATTTCAGAACATTTGGAACAAATGATTTAAGTAAAGATATTTGACTTATCTATTTCAGGTTTTCCATCAAATTGTAGGTCAAAAATATCTCATTGTATAAAAAAGCCAAATCAACACCCAAAGTTTAAGAAGTATTTTGTTTGTTTGTTTGTTTGTTTGACCACTTCACCAGTTTCATAAGATTAAAAATGGACATGGGTAAACAACCATCCTCTAAATTTAATTCAGATAATTAGTTATCTTTTGGTATTCTTAAATGAGGTATACAAAGTATACAAACCAATTAAGTTAGACACTGAAACCAGTCAGATTATGGAAGTTTTACCAGAGGAAACTGTGTGCAGAGAGGAAGCTAGGAGAAAAATACAGAGAGAAGCAGAGATGAGAGATTTGGGGATAAAGAGAGAAAACCAAGGGGAGTAAGAGAGCAAGAGCAGGACAAGAAACGTGAACATGAGGTACTTTGAAAAATGAGCTACCCGATAATGTATTCCTTCCAATAGAGATAAGATACGTTTACTATAATTGGATTCCACAG